ATATTGTGAAATATTTTTACAACTGTTTTCTGTTTTAATACATTTTAAAATGTAATTTATTCCTGTCTTGACAGTTGAATTTTCAGCAGCCGTTACTCCAGTCTTCAATGTCACACAATCCTTCAGAAATCATTCTAATATGCTGTTTTGCTGCTGAATATTTTTTGTAGAAATCATGATTACTTTTTTCAGGATTCTTTGATGAATAGATTTTTTTTTTGTAACAATGTAAAAGTCTTTAATGCCACTTCTGATCAATTTAATGTATCCTTGCTGAATAAAAGTAGAAATTTCCTGAAAAAAGCTTACTGAATAGAATGAAATAGTGGGTTAGCAAGGCCTGTGTTTTTATGGTTTACACACAAGCCTCAGCATGTTGCCTGAGCCCTTCTCTCATCTTTCATAATGACCAGTTAAGCCAGACTGAACCGCACAGTGCTGTTTCATGAACTTAATGCCATACATTTATATCTTCCCTTTTCCCCCCTTTTATAATGCCAGTAAAGTCTTTTGCACCAAGACCCATGATCTTTTGATGACAGATGCAGGTGATGAGAATGACATTTTGAGTTCTGAACCGTACAGTATGTTTTTAATAGCACAATGACCTCTTATCACAAAAAACCATGGTAAATGCTTCATGATATAATGTGGCTTAATGTATTTTTCTTTTACTCATCCTTGCGCCTCATTATGTACTTGTTTATGGCAGCAGTTTTTGCTCAACCAAGATGAATCTCTCATGTGTGCCTTGCATTGTTTGATTTCGTGACAAGTTTCATCAAATATGTCTCTCCCCCCATGGTCTTGGATGTTATCTTCTGTGTTTTATCTCTTTCTCTTAGTGTTTCTATCCTGTCCCCTTGCTTTTGATCATTTACAGATGTTCCTTCTCTCTCTCTTTCAATCTCTCTTGCGGTCTGCTTGACCCCCTTCCACACTTGGCATCACTATATGCGGAAGCACATTCCAGTCAGTTCAACCACCCCCCTCCCGCTTCGACGACTGCTGTCCTTGTCACACAGTCTCAGTTCTGATTACAGGTATGAGACATAGAGAAATTGCATCCTAATGAGTCTGTTTACAGCAAAGGCTCGGTACCAAAGGCTGGTAACCACCAGAGATATTGTGAAATTGAACAAGGCACATAAACCCAGATCACCCCAAAGGGTGTTGTCCTTATGATAAGTGTTCTAACTCATCCCAGTGTGACAAGTTGTCCGTACTAAATGCAAAATCAGAAGTTATTTGATGTTTTATAGTTCTGGAGCAAGATTTTGGACCAATGAGATCTCACAGAGGGTGTGGCTACATAAGGCTGCAGCTGGTTAGGACACTTTGTAAGGAAGAAAACAATTTCTATTTGGTGAAGATATGACTGCATGTGTCTGTGTGAGTGTGTACAGGACAGATTGTGAAAGGCAGGAAGTGGAATAGAATGTCCCTGTCTGATAACTTGAAAGCTAAGCCTGATATTTGCAGAGATGTTGATGGTGGATAATGATAGACAGTTTGATCTGAGTGGCACGGAAATTTACGGTTTTGTTTCTTCCATTCTCTATCTATTCAACCTCACAATGAGGAGCCCCACAGTTTTTATCATCAATACCCTGATTGTTCTGGAAGGAGTGGTGGAATTTCTCTTGTTCTTCTGCTCAGGGCGGTCCTGAATTTGAAGGGCTTGGTTAAACCCATGTACTTCATTCATTCAACACTCTTCATGGATTTCTCACAGCTTCTTCACGAGTGAAATAATGTGGCAGCTTTTTTATTGTATTATTTACACGCACTTAAATTAGGAATATACTATGGGATACAAACAAATATCTGAAACTTTTGGGAAAATTGTGACTTTTTTTCATTTAAACTGGATAAGAACAACAAAAAAAAGTAACTATAAAAATTGTTAAATAAAAACTATATGAAATAAAAATTTGAATATAATATATATTATAAAATGAAATTAAATATATTGTTTTGATTTAAAAAAAACGTTCACTGGCGCCGCTGTATTTATGGCTTACAGTCGAGTTCATATCTGCATTCAGTGGCAGCAGTAATGAATAAGTGATTAGGCACAGAGGAATTTCCCATGAATGTGATGATAATAGAGCCCTTCAGTTTGCCGCCATATAATGACAATGACATATTGACATATTGACATATAATGTTTCATTGCGCCTGACCTGCAGTCAATTACGATGTGATCAAGAGACAAATTAAGGTAAAATCATGGCTTGAAAACATCTGGATAAGGGTTATGAGTAAGAGTAAGCTGTCCACCAAGAGAGGAGCAGAATTTGAAAGGCCCATAAGAAATATGGACATGTATTGGATAAAACTCTTGCTGGAAAATACCTTTGACTCGCTGTCTGAATTTGTATCTGGGAATTTTCCCGTGTGCATGCATGGGAATATTGTCTTATTTCATGAGTGTGACCGTCATCATTTTCACTCTTTTGCAAGAGCCAGTGCAGTGATTTTGTAAAAGCCAATGCAGTCTTGTTTTGTTGTTTCTGGTCACTCTTAAAGTGATGATTCACCAAAACATTCAAAATCTGTCATTTACTCACCCTCATGTTCCAAATCCATTTAACTTTAGTTATGTAGAACACAAAAGATGTTTTTGCTCATACAATGAAGGTCAATGGGGTCCAAAACAATTGCCATTGTATGGACAAAAATATATTTTTCTAAATATCTTCTTTTGTGTTCCACATAAGAAAAGGTCATACAGGTTTGGAACAACATGTGGGTGTGTAAATGATGACAGAATGTTCATTTTTTAAGCTCTTTTTTGTTGTATCTGTAGAGGAAGTGCAAGTTCACTGAAAAAATGGGGTGAGCAGTAGCTCATTAGCATTTAAAGAGACACGCACTGAAAAGATCGCTGTGAACAGAGCAGTTTTTGACAAGGTAAAAAGAGTGACGTTTTACACCACCATTGAAGAATTGTATCCAAAGTATGTTGCAGACATTTCATGAAGACCCTAAAGAATCATAATAACTTGTGGAAAATGGGCATCCGATGTCCCCTTTCATACTTTTTGGATCGTGACAGCTAGCTATTTTTTGGTGAATGAACCTTTGAAGTCTTTGATTCACCTTTTGAGTCATTGTCAACTTTTGTTAAGCACTACGTGAGGCATTTTCAACTCATTCACTGACAGAAAAGCAGAAAGCTCACGCCCTATTGTAAAAATCTCTCTCACTTCTGTTGAACTTTGACCATGACAGCATGATGTGTGCAGGGGGCTCCGAAAAGTCAGCAAGTTCATTTTCATGTTAACAGCCTTAATACCCTCAGACTGCTGCAAGGTCATTGCTTTAAATCAGTCCCTGCTTTAGCTGCAGTTTAACTTTTTGATGCAATCTCTCAGTGTATTTACTTAACATACATTGTCCCTAGTTTTTGCGGATTTGTTTGGAGAGCAAATTCTTTGCTAAAGCAAACATTGGCCCCCCTGTGGCCCTGTTGAAAGATGGTGTCATTTTCTTCACACTAAATAAATGATGTCTCTCCATACCATTTCCATTTGGCCCCTGGTTGCAGTTTCTCCCAAACACACATAGCTTGCTCAGACATGCAAAAATATGTTTTTACACGCTCCATATAATTGCTGGAAGACCTCGCAAAGCTGCTGAAATCCAGACTAGCACAAAAAACTAAGCTTCTTGTAAAAAAAAAAAAGTGTGAGATTATGCTCGTCTTTTTACAAGACAATGTTTTATTGCATGTTATGCGTTAAATAGTGAAAAGAAGGATTTCAGGCTGGTTGATGATGAAATGATTACAATTGTGGCAGAGTTTAAAAGAAGAGATTAAAAAGAGAGATTTAAAAAGAAAAAAAAAAAACTAGTTTAAAACAAGTGCCAAGTTCTGAAACTGAAAGGTAGTGTATATGGTGTAACCGTCAAATAAAACATTTTTTTTCTTTTTTTTAAAATTTTGAATACATATTATTTTTAAAAATTATCTTTTAAAGTGTTTTTAAGCTAAAAAAATATCATCATACTTTGAATAAATAATACACCAAAAATATTATGTCACAATCATTTGAAAATTGGGATGTCCCCCGCATATTTCTAAGGTGGTTACATCCCTAATTATTTCAGCAGCTAGAGGGAAAAAATTAGCAGAACAATGGAAATTTGAGGGCACGGATTTGCAGATCTTATCAGACAGGAAGGAGCTCTTAGGCATTTTCAGTGGAACAAGGTTATGTTTGCAAGGCGTTATGCCAGCTGTGTATAATATCAGGCTTTTCTGCTTAACCTTGATCCCTTTTTCAGTGCAATCTTTCAGATATGTGTGCATGATTGGCACCTGCAGTGCTGACTTATGGTGCTTTTCCACTGCATGGTACGGCACGGTACGGCTCGGTACGGTTCACTTTTGGGGGGTTTTCCACTGGGTACAGTACCTGGTACCTGGTACTTTTTTTAGTACCACCTCGGTTGGGGTTCCAGGCGTCCTTGAATCCAGCTCTATCTGCTAGTGGGCCGTACCGAAGCACAGATTGTTTAGAAAAGAAAGTGTATGGTATCCAGTAGGGATATGCCGGTATCAAATTTTCATGTTGCGATTAATTGCTAATGCTTTTCCAGTCATCATCTTCTTTATCTGAACTCTGTTCTACCTTTAGTTTGCAGACACTACTACCAGTCTATCTGTGTGATATCTGCCTTGCATTCTCTGTACATTATAGAGCACATATCACTAATCTCACTTCTGTGTTTACCTAAATATATGCTGCATATCCTCACCATACCTGATCATATGTTTATCTGTAACTTTCCCATGCAATGCAGTGGACTCTGCACCCCAACTATTTAAAATTGGCTGTATTTCCCATTTAAATATTAGGACTGGTAAAGATCCGTCCATCTCCGTTTTAGTGCTTTATGGTGTTAAATTTGAGCGTTTTCAATGTGTTTTGAAGGAATGAAGATTAAACTGCAGTATTCAGTGCCTTATATTGCCTTCTCTCTTCTTCTAGGCAAGGCTTTCGACATCACCTATGTGCGTCTGAAGTTTCACACCAGTCGTCCTGAGAGCTTTACCATCTACAAGCGCACTAGTGAAGACGGGCCCTGGATTCCCTACCAGTACTACAGCGGCTCCTGCGAGAAGACCTACAGCAAGATCAACCGCAACTTCATCCGCACTGGTGAGGACGAGCAGCAGACTCTGTGCACAGATGAGTTTAGCGACATCTCTCCGCTCACCGGAGGAAACGTAGCCTTCTCCACACTCGAGGGCCGACCCAGCGCATATAATTTCGACAACAGCCCTGTACTGCAGGTAAACGAGTCTCCTGTCTTTTTTTTGATCTCTCACTCACCCTCCCTTGATTGCTCGAACTCATTCATGAAGTCAAAAGCGTTCACATCAGTCACAGTCTCAGACATAACAAAGTCATTAGTGGGAATCGAAAACGCCGTTTCCAGGTGTGTGGTTGTGTTATAATATGTGATTGCAGCCAAGTTACTTTTCCAAGATTTTTCTGTCCAGATTGTGTAACATTCCACAGCCTCAAACAAACAGCTCGTCATTTAGAAGTGTTTGCATGTGAGAGATAATAGTATTTGCAAAATATAACAATAAAACTTTAACACACTCTCTACGTTTAAAAAATAAAAATGAGAAGAGTTCTAAACTAATGCGCTGTCTTCTGTATCTATAACGCACACACATGCTCAGTCACTCACACTGATCACGCTGCGGCCGCACTCAGATATTCAGGAACAAACTTTTTAGCGCTGCCCTGCAATTTTATCAACTAAATAGCTTAATCGCTCAAGAGCTACATTATCTTTCTCAACAAGGAGCTGGTAACATCGTTGTTTCTACTCTCTGTGTCGTAAATGAACAGTTGATGAATTACACTTTTCTGAGAATAGAATATTGAAGTGGAGATCGCTAAACTGCAAATTTACCGGTGTTTTCAGAAAGCCAGCACTTTTATCCACAGTGGAGAGAGAGCGCGCGTGCACACATGGTTGCCAGGTTGACAAAGATAAGTAGCACACTTAGCAGATATTTCCGTATTGCGCAAGTGGGAAGCTCCGTTTCGGGGATTGTCTCTTTATATCAGGCAACCCAGTTGTGTTCCTCTGTCTGCAGATTAAACCTTGTTGTAGCCTATATATTATGCTCTATTCATTATTTTTTAGAAACCTCACACTTTTCTGTTCCTCTGCGGCCAGATTAAACCTTGTTGTAGCCTATATATTATGCTCTATTCATTTTTTTTTTTTTTAGAAACCTCGCACTTTTCTACTCAATTTTAAACGGTGTTCTTGTATTCAAATTAAGCGTGGTCCACTGCTGCACACGTGTCACAATATCGATACAGGGCCAGCTGTATCGATACTCGTATCGTCAAATCTCTGTGACGATGACGATACATCGTCGTATCGATGTATTGAACACAGCACTAGTAAATAGTAATACATTTTAAAGAAATCTCTTATGCTCACCAAGGCTGCATTTGTCTGATCAAAAAAACCCGTAATATTGTGAAATGTTATTACAGTTTAAAATATCTCTTTGTATTTTAAAATTTGATTTATTCTTAGCTGAATTTTCAGCAGCTATTCACTCTTCAGTACCACATGATCTTTCAAAAATCATTCTAATATGCTGATTCGTTGCTTAAGAAACATTTCTTATCACAGTTGAAAATGGTTTTATTGGGTTTTTTTTGTGAAAACTCTAAAAATCTTTACCGTCACTTTTGATCAATTCAGTGCATCCTTAAAAAGTTTTTTAATTTAATTTAAAGAAAATCTTGCTGAGCCCAAACGTTTTATTGGTGCTATACTTTTATTTATTTTATTTTTTGTATTTTATTTATTGCTGAGCACCATTATTTTGTTGCTTCATAAAAGCATGAATTTTATTGTTAAATAGGTTTACGACATGTTTCTGCCCATTACACACCACAGAATTACTGTAATGCAGAAATCCTACTGTTACATTGTTTCATTTCATCCGGAACTTGATATATTTCCCGAGACCACAACCACAGACAAAAAAAAAAACATTTTTCAGACTAATTAGCTGAATAAGAGGCAGACGCTCAACCCAATGTGAGCTGAGTCAGTCCTTCCGTGTGCTGACTATGGAATTTGTTGTCAGGCAGAGAAAGCGGTCTGTATGCCGAGCCAAAACAAGATGCTGCCGTGGTTACGGGGAGGCGAAAAGAGGTTAAGCGTGTGAGATATGAGCAGGAGTGGGTGGACAGCAGATAATGTATGGCTGAATTGATGCATGGAAGCATGCAGGCAGGCTGGTTGGTGTGTGTTTGTGAGACCCGTGATGCTCTGTCCAGGTGCTACGTCGCCTCCCGCTCACTCAGCACAGCCAACAGTTGCAACATGTTACTAGGTGACACCCCCAGATTTCCCACCCCGTTCTGATTGTGCTTGGCAGTGCACAGACACAGCTGGAAAAGAGTGCATGTGCAAGTGATGGACAACGTGCAGCATACATGCAAGAGCTGGAACACTGGGGTCTGATAATTATTTTTATCAGTTTTTTTCACCATGTGCTTTCATATGTTGAAAATTCAAGTCGGTCCACATGGTTTCTAATTTACAAAACATCATTTAAAGGTCCCATATTGTCAAAACATTTTTCAAAGCTTTTTTCACGATTACTGAGGTATAGGGGCTATTTAACTACCATATAAGTTTCAAAACAGTCAGTCCACAGTAAAATGCACACAGCCTGCTTAAAGTTCTAGCTATTTTTCACGAACTGTTGTGACTTCCGTAAAAAGTTGACGTCAGAACTACACAGTCACCGCCTACAGTCACTGCCTTCAGTCACCGCCTTCAGTCACCACCCCGAGCACCGCCCACAGTCCCACTCTCCTTTTGCCAAACCCCCAGACAACATCACATCCATGCTTGTAGCACCTGGCACCTGGCACCTGACGTCAGTTTTTGTAGATATGATGCGTCCTTTTGATTATTTTGGGAGCTCTTTAGCACATCATTGGATGGCCTACTTGATTAGTATTCACGTTTATATATTTATATTCTGTACCACCAAACAAATGCTTCATGTGTCTCCTAATTTTGACAAAATGAAGCCGTATTATTATGGTAAACATTTGTTTTTATTTGTATTTATTTTTGTATAACGTTGTTTTTCATATGTAACGTTACCTTTACCAAATGTACAATTTTAGCCCTGTCGCCAGATACTTCCATATCAGACATCTCATATGGCATAAAGCTATTAATACCAAAGCCCCAAACTCTTTTTGATCTGGATCTGTTTCTGTGGGTTTTATATGACTGTCATGCCGGCTCCGTTATAGAAGCGTGTGTTGAGTGAAGATGACTAGGTTTGTTTGTGGACTTTTGAAAATGATCCACAACAAACTGGCTTCACTCATCATCTGTCATTAATATCATTAGTTGATAATTAGCTGTTAGTTTTATATGTTCTCTTTTTTTGTTTCCAAGCGGTGCTAATGGTTAGATCTGGTTGTATCACATTTCTTGGGGGCTGAAAAGGGTTAAAGTGAAGGTGCACTCAAATGTGAAAATCCTGTCATCATCATTTTGCTTAAAACACATGATGTAAGTTTTCCACGAAACACAATAGGAGTCCTGTTTGCTCTTTTCCAGACATTGAAAGCGGATGGTGACTACAACTGTCAAGCTCAAAAAATGGCATTATGAAGTAGTGCAAACATTTTACATGCTATATTCAGACTCTACTAAGACCATCCTTGCAGAATTTAGTCTAAATGATCTGTTTTATCATTTTAGTTCTGAGTAACTTTTGCTTTTAATCACGAGTTACGTGATGTGAAGCTGTTTCTGCTCAGATGGCAGATTTATTTCTGCAATTCCTCCAAATATGAAGTTCAAGAAAATAGTCTGATGACAGAGCTTTTATTTTAAGTGTGTACTGCTGTAATGTATTTTTAAATCTTTTAAAAATGGATTATTATAAAATATATAATGTATTTATTTTAATAGTAATTTAGAAACACTATAAATATAGAACATTTAACTTTAAGTTACAGCTAAATTGATGCTACAGATAAAATAATGTTATGAAAAATAAAATTGAGATATACAGTAATAGTGACATATAATTACTCACACCTTGACAGAAGATTTGGATTACACTGCCCATCCCTAAACTATAGTATGGCTTTGTATAGCTTTGATCATTAGTGCTAATCCTCATATTTCATTGTGATAAATCTGTGTTTATGTAACATGTTTCTCTAGGGGAAGAGAACTGTGGTATTTTTGGCTGTCTTCCCAAACAGGAACATGCTCTGGATCACGGCTGTCAGCTATGGATAAGGTGTCAGAATGACATAATGGGGTCCTATTATGCTTTTTCACTTTTTTAATTTTAGTCAGTGTGTATGTTTGGGCATAAAAAAGATCTAGAAAGTTACAAATCTCAAAGTCAACTCCAAAAGCAGGACGTTTCCTCCTCAGTTCCAGCAGGGGTTTAGTGGACTGAAAATGTTCACCGTTGTTGGATGGTTGCCTGGCTTCACTTTGACCACCCCGTGTTATTCTGTCAGCCCTGCTTGTAAAATAAAAACGTTTATAGTGAAACTAGAGGAAAACGCTTACGAAGCTTTTAGAAAAAGGACTAAAGTCTTGGTCTGAGTCATGTTTTCGTTGGTTCCTGAGATTGTTCACATTGGCACTCCCAGCAAGTACTGTGCGGCATCATTCTAAATGACATTTACATGCTAAACGTCACACTGGTGTTTTTCTCTTCCCATGAAACCTTTCTGCAGACATTACAGTGCCTCAACGTGACTCCGGCAGGTTTTGTTTAGAATAGAAGCCTGAGGATGTATTTTCTTTCGACATCTGCACACAGAACAGATGGGAAGAATTCATTTGTAATTATGTTTCTCTCTATCAGAATTGGGTGACTGCCACGGACATCAGAGTGACCCTGAACAGATTAAACACTTTCGGAGATGAAGTTTTCAACGATCCCAAAGTTCTCAAATCCTACTACTACGCTATCTCTGACTTCGCTGTGGGAGGAAGGTACGTTTTCACTCTGTTGCTTCACTCTCCAGCGTTAATATGTCAGTATATAGTTTAATGAAGCATTCACATATGTTCCTTGTATTTAGACCATGGATATAGAGACCTGCACTCCCGCGGGAGTACCGCGGGACCCAACGCAACATGGTGCGCGCGGGACAACTCTTGATGGGCGGGTGCGGGTGCGGGCGGGAAGAGACTCGTGTGTGTGCGGGACGCGGAAGAATAAAATGATTCGCGGGACTCCCGCAAAATAGAAATGATCTAAACATAAAGTGTCT